CCTCTCTTTCCAGTGTTGGGTTGTTCTTTCAGTGGCTGTCAATCTCAGCTGCTTCACTTGTCCTGCTGCTGACCTGCTTCTTGAACTACCTGTCCTTTCTCGGCTTCCTGGACTGAGACCAAGATACGTGGTTTGAAGAGGCAGGTTTAGGAATCAATAGGTACCCAGGAGCCAGGCTTCGGGTCCAGAGACAGCTGTGGCTTCTAGCCAGTGTTCTTGTTCCTGTCACTTGAGGGCTTCCTCTTGACTCCTTTTGATGTCCTCCAGCCAGCCTCTCCCTCCTGGGACTCCTTGACTGACATGGCACACTAAGTTCTGGGATCTTTCTTCCAATACAAGATCCCAAGTCTGTTTATGAACCTCGGACTCTTTCCCTTGGACATTCCAGTGATGTGTGGTTAGTGGTCCAGGATTTTGTATTCTTTGGTTCCCTCAAATGTTTGGTCCTAGGGGTTTAATGTGGCCAGCAGAGTGAATGTATCAAAACAGTCTGGCCACAGTGGGTGGAGGGCTGGGCCTGTTGGCATGTACTCTGATGCTGGCTGGAACCACAGCTGGTGGCACCAGCAACTGTGTTTGTTCTTTAGCCCCTGGCAACTCCTGAGCACATTGGATTCCTGTCCCAAGGAACACAGATGCTTCTTCCAAGCCAGCCTGCCCAGGCTGCACTTACTTCAGAGCAGCAGTGTCTGGTGAAAAAGAGGACTTATTTCGGAGATCCCCTTTCCTCTCTCTTCCTTGGTCAGTCTGTTATCCTCCTCTCCTCTCCAGATCCATTCGCTTCCCCACTAAGGAGCATGAAAGCATGCCTGTCTACGTGAAGTGTGTTTGCCCTGTAAAGAAATGGCATAATGATAAATATTTAAGCATTTGGCTTTCATGTCCTGGGTTCCCAGTAGAGGTGCAGCTTCATTCTAAGTCTGCAGGTAGAAAGTGGTTGGGACATCAGGAGGCAGTTGGGATAATGCAGAGTGTGACAAAGCTCAGAGTGTGACAAAGCTCAGAGTCCTTGCCAGCAGCTGACAGCTGTGGTGGGACCTGGAGTCTACGTCCTGCTTCTCATCCTTTTTGCATTTTGGAGCACTCCAGAACATTCTGCCAGCTGTTAGAGGAAGCACCTGTGTTACCAATGTCACAGTTCTGGGAGAAAACCGGGGCTCACTTTTTTGTGAAGTCATTGTGCCCACAGACACGTAAGAGCCCTGTGTGTGGGACTGTGTGCACGGTGTTTAAGGCAGAGAGTGCTTTCCAACTGTAATGAAGTTTAGTTCCATCTTGTGACCTTGCTGTTGTTGTTGTTTTACATTTATGTATCTGTGTGTATGTGCATGTATGAGTGATCATGTGCACACTTGTGTGCTTGCAGATGCCACAGAACACATAGGGAGGTCAGAGGATAACTTGCAGTAGAGTTTTTTTCCTTTGACTGTGTGGGGGCTGGAAATTAAACTCAGGTTACTAGGTTGATGGCAGGCGCCCTTTCCACTGAGTCATCTCAGGCCCATACATATTTTGTGGTTTGTCTTGTTTTGTTTGTTGGCTTTTGTTGTTGTTGTTGTTGTTCTGCTTTGGCTTGGTTTTGTTTGTCTTTGCGATATGGTCTCATTATGTAACCCTGAATGGCCTGGAACTCTTTATGTAGACCAGGATGATTTAGAACTCCTGGGGATCTGCCTGCTCCTGCCTCCTGAGTGCTGAGATTAAAGGCACGGGCCACCAGAGTTAGCATATTTTGTTTTGAAGATGGAAGAACCCAAACATCAAAACTCAAACTGTAAAAATATAAGTAAGAATCAGAAACACAGCAAGGAGCTAGCCAGGCACCTCTTTCTAGGCACTCATGATGGATTATGTTGGTTCCAGAGAGAGTTAATCTATCAGAGAAGTGGATCAAATAGGAAAGAGATGTAGCCAACTGCAAGAGTCTTCTTGAAATAGGAGACACCTGTGTTTGGGTTAGCAGGCAATTAATTATCTAAAATTGGGGCTGTAAGTGGGGAGCTGCTCAATGTGCTTGACCTTGAAACCATGGGAACTTGAGTTTGATCCTCAAAACCCATGTAAAAGAGTCAGGTATGGTGGCATGTGCTTGTAATCCCAGCACTTAAGAGATAGAGCCATGCAGATCTCTGGGCTTCACTGGCCAGCCAGCCAGATCAGCAAGTTCCAGGCCAACTGGGAGGCCTTCTCTCAAAAACACAAGGCAGCTCTCTCCCGAGCAACGAAACTTGAAGTTGATTGGTGGTCTTCACACGTATGCATACATATGGGCACCCACACCCATACAGACACACCCAAATTTAATAAAATTGAAGGTAGAGGAAATTACATAGTACTTGGCAGAAGTACTTGATATTTCTGCTTTAGCTTTGTTGTTATAAAGGAGAAAAAAGCAAATATGTAAGAGAATGTGAAAAGTGACATCCTAGAGGAAGCCAAAAACAAAATAACAGTTGAGACTGACCTATGTGGGCCATGTGTTACCCTTCCCTGGGTCTTTCTAACTCTTATGCCCCTAGCTTCTGCCCGAGTTTATTGGCCTCTTTAGCATGAGAGTGGCTTCAGGAACAGGCTTAACTTTCAGGACTCGTTCAGAAAGGGGTGCAGCTGGAAGGTGTGTTTATTCAAGTTCAAGTAAGCGGAGGTAAATGCAGGCGTGGTCGGGAACTGTGGCTGCTTCACCACTCCTGGTCGGCATAAGGCCAAAGTCAGCTGTATTATGAATTGCCATGGCTGTTTTCGTACTCAAGGTCATATTAGTTCACCCAATCTGCAGCTGGGCAGAATGCTGCAGTCCAGAGAGAAACGGAATTGGAGTCCTTCCCCAGGTGTCTGCTAAGCAGATCCAGTCCTACCCACCATGGGGACTCGTGCTGCGGAGCCAGAGGGCACTGTGTTTTGAAACTGAGATCTAGTTCCAAGCCGGACTCTATCCCATCCTTTCATACACATTTACCCTCTTCTTTCCTTTCGTTCTCCATCAGCATTGATTCTGGCTGAAGTAGATTTTTGCTCAATCCAGTGGCATTGCTACCAGGATTTGCCCTCCTTCCATGCCCCCATGAGAAGAAGCAGTTGGGCAGGGTTGATTGGGGCTTGGTGGGTGGGGCCAACAGACTAAGAGATATATGGTGTTGACACCTAGAGATTAGTTAGCCATGATCCATATGGTGTGCTGATAATAAAAAGAATGATATATGACCTTGTTTGTAAGAAGCAGGTAGCTAAGAGATATCAGCACTGTATTCAGGACAGAATGATTACCAAAAGTTGAGTGGAAGGGACAGACTATAAACAATAGGAAAGTGTTTGTTTACTTGCATTCATTATTTGTGTGTTTACATGCACAAGGAGGTCAGAGGACAACTTCTTGGTATTGGTTCTCTCCTTCCATTTTTATGTGAGTACCAGGGATGGAACTCAGGTCACCAGGTTTGCTTGGCCAGTGGCTTTAGAACCCCTGTCTGGCTTCAACTTGTTCTCTAACATAGAAAGACCTTTGGCTTCTGTTCCCCCTGCCTCCAGCTCCCAAGTGCTGAAATTAGAGGTATGTACCAGCACACCTCCTGCATGACAGGCAAGCACTATTCCAACTGAGCCACATCTCTATCCTGGAATCCCTTGAGATCTGAGTGCTAGAGGGTGTGGAAGGAAGGCTCTGTCTGATTCTGGTAAGGTTTTCAATGTGGGTTATGTCATCCTTCCAGTGGGACATATGATTTAGATTCCTATCAACATACTCAATGTTGGAATCTATGACTTTCAGGAGCTCATGGAGGAACTAGGTGCCTTTAGCCAGGATGGTGGCATAGTAGGAGGTCTTGGCTCTAAGTCTGAGGTTACTGATTACTTTAGTCTGTATCATACATGTTTGATTGAGAACTTCTTATGGAAATTGTTTTTATGTAATACTAAGATGGAGACCAAATGGAAGTGTTTGTATATGTTCTTGTTTTTTTTTTTTTTTTTGTTTTTTTTTTTTTTTTTGAGACAAGGTCTCATTCTGTAGCCCAGGTGAGCCTGGAGCTCAGTGTGTACACCAGGCTGGCTTCAAACTCACGGCAACTCCCCCCACCCCCAGCCTCTTGAGTGCTGGAATTATAGGCATCAAGCATCTCAAATGGTTTAACCTAAACTGGAGGAGTACTCAGAATGAGGTTCATTAAGGAAGATGATGAATTAGACCAACCAGAAAGAAACATCTGTACAAACATAAAAGATGGCTGTGATTAGAGAAACGTAATGGAAAGAGTTGAAGGGTAGGCTGAGTGAGTGTTCTGTAGCAATGCACACTGGTGGTTGGAACAGCCTGTCCAGGACTTCAAATGTGAGGGAAACATGGAGGTGTGAGGCAGCTTGAGCTGTATGAATATCATTGGTCTGCCCCCCACCTCCCAACACCTTCCAGCTTGACAGTCTTCAGACTGATGAGACTGTGGGAAGGTTTAGAGAGTGACCCACAGGGAAAGGAATTTGGGGATGGAACTCAAAGAGAATAATTTAGAATTTTCAGGTTGTTTTTTGGTTTGGTTGGTTGGTTGGTTTTTTTTTTTTCCTTGTGTAAAATGCCCTGGTGTGAAGGCCCCTAATCTTCACAGGGGATGGAATGTTATGTGTCAGCAGCATTTGGTTAGACACAAGAAGTACTTGCCTGACAGTCATTAAATGACAGGATGGATTATTGAGGGAAAGTTTTGGTGTATAGAGGAGACTTTCAAAGTAGGCTGTTATTTGTATCTCATTGGACTGGCTTAGGTCCTTTTATGGATGTTTTAGGTCTATCGCTTTGGTCCTAGGTGATGACCAAGTCAGAGAACTGATGACTACTCAGGCCCCTGTTCTAACTTCAGGGTTCCCTGTAGTTATTCATGTGCTCATACTTCCCCAAAGATGCTTGTTATGCCACCGACTGCACAGCTCCATAGCCCTTGTTGTCAGGCTGGAGGCAGGCTGTATGGGCTGGCCTAAGCTGAATCCATTCTTCTGTTCTCTCTTTGCAGTATGAGTTTAAAGCCAAGAACATCAAGAAGAAGAAAGTCAGCATCATGGTTTCTGTGGATGGTGTCAAAGTGATTTTGAAGAAGAAGAAAAAGGTGAGTGGCTGAACCAGAAGCTAGCAAATAAGGCATAGGACACTTTCCTTCTAGGACATTACCTAGTGCTCTTTTCTCTGGCTAGCAGTCATGTTGCTAAGAGAGTAGAGAGCAGAGAGTGAGGCAGAGGCCAGTGGCCTTAGTGGGACTTGGGTCTTAATAACTCATAGCCTGTGGGTCATTTTCGAGCATCCTCATCTTCAAAGCCTCTTCTCCATTTGAGTACCTTTACCTTTAAGTTTCTCTCTCTCTCTCTCTCTCTCTCTCTCTCTCTGTCTCTCTCTCTGTCTCTCTCTCTCTCTCTCTCTCTGTGTGTGTGTGTGTGTGTGTGTGTGTGTGTTGAGACAGGATCTTACTTTGTAGCCTAGACTGGATTTGAATTTGCAGGTCTAATGCTTCATACTCCTGAGCCTGAGACAACAGGCAGATTATTGCAGCTGGTCTGAGTCTTGATAGTGGGAAGTACTTCCACTTTAACTGATATATGTTGAGTGTCCCTCAACTGAAATCCCAAATGCTTCAGATTGAAATTGTTGGGTCGTCATAGCAACACCCGAAAAGTTTTTGAAGTTGGGGCATTTCAGAGTTCAGATTTTCAGGCTGGTCAAGTCTATAAAAATAGTCTCAGATTAGCATCTCCTCTCAGCTAGTGTTAGATGTTAAGGATCGAGATCAACCTGCAATTAGTAGCAAGTTTCAAGCACGTGAGCAGAGACAGACACCTGGAACAACACTCAGCCCCCATTTATGTGACCTGTGGCTTTCTTTCACTGCCACTTCCACTGCCACAGGGACATCCTGAGTGCCATCTCTCTCTCCCCCCACATATCTGCATATTGGGCATAGCCATGGAGAGAGCTAGAGTATCGACCTCTGGGAGCTCTTGAGCAAGACTTGATGAAGCAAGTGAATGCCTATTAATTCTCTGGGCTTGAAATTATAAGTGAGATGATGCTCTCTTGAGTAAGACATATTTTTTGGAGTCGGAGAAACCAGTGCAGCTCATGTACCTGGTTCAGAGAGACCGGTTTCACATGAGGGAAATTGGTGGCTCAGCACCCTCCACTGATAAAATCATTTGTGAATATTTCCCAGGTGACAGGATGTGTTCACACCCTTTGTCACAAACAGCCATCCATCAACCACTGTGGCTATTTCCTTGGTTAGTGATTTCCTCACAGACTTTCCTCATCCCTTGCCAGGAGCTGAGTTATTAGTCTTTCAAGGCCCCAAATCCAGGCAGGGAGCATTGTAGAAGAAGAAGAAGAAGTCAGTAAGATCATAGGAGACTAAAGATGAAGAAGAGTGCTCTGAAACCTATCTTCAGGATGTGCTGTGGTTAAGGAAGTCAGGAACACACTGCAGCTGGCGCTGCCTGCACAAGATCTACACAGAGGAGCAATAGGACACAAGGGTAGGAAGAGACCAGCTAGGAAGAAAGAGGAGATGAACAGGTATGGGAAGGAGGCATGAGAGGGTGATGGAGGTGGTTATGATCACAATATATGGTATATAGGTAAGAAATTGTCAAAAGTAAGAAAGGAGGAAAAATACATAATAAGTGTATTCCTCTGACCTTAAAAAGTATCGAGACTTGCAGTTTTGCAGTTATGACCCTCAGGATGCTGAGTCACATTGACCACTTCAAGGCGGTTGATGTATAAACTGGACCAATAGTTTCTTAATCTATTCTGAAACAGAATTGTCTCCTGGATCAGTGAGTATCCTGACAAGCACCTATTTCCTTACCAATTGGAGGCAAAATGAGAAGGCAAATTAGTACAGGCTTTTGGGTGGGTACCAGGTCTGCCTATTTTAAAGTAGGAATGTTGGGACCACTCAATGATCATAATAACCTTGTTGAGGAATAAAATCTATCTTTAGTTAGGGTTTTACTGCTGTGAACAGACACCATGACCAAGGCAAGTCTTATAAAAGACAACATTTAATTGGGGCAGGCTTACATGTTCAGAGGTTCAGTCCATTATCATCAAGGTGGGAGTATGGCAGCATCTAGGCAGGCATGGTGCAGGAGGAGCTGAGAGTTCTACATCTTCATCTGAAGGCTGTTAGTGGTAAACTGACTTCCAGGCAGCTAGGATGAGGGTCTTAAAGCTCACACCCACAGTGACACACCTACTCCAACAAGGCCACACCTACTCCAACAGAGCCATACCTTCTAATAGTGCCACTCCCTGGGCAGAGCATATACAAGCCAAAATACAATTCATCAAGTCTATTTGACAGTTCTGACCAAGACTTCTGTTCATCTATGGCTAACACTCCCAAAATCTTGCCACCACCCTCCTATGCATATTACTTCTGGTTAGGCCCCTGGGATCTATTATGACCCCATTGAATAACTTAATGTACCCCTGCTATCATCCACTATGGAGTGACTTCAGGTCTTGTTTGTCCTTAAAGGATACTCTTATTATCCCCTCTCATTCCCACCCCTCTTTGTATCAAGTACCATAGGTGGTGCCAGCTCCACCGTGCATTGGAACATAGGTTAGATCTCACACTGACAAGGGTGGCAGGATGCCTGGGTGTTACCTGGGAGAGGAGCTATCCCCTCTTTCCCTAAGTACATGAAAGCTAAGCTAGAGCATGTCCCTGAGGGAGTCCTGGGGACCTGTGACTCACTCGGAAACTGCATGCTTGGTAATCTCTAGCATTTGCCCTTCTGCCCCAGGAAGGAGGTTGTGTAGCAGGTCAGTCTTCGATCTGACTCTTCCCATGCCAGCTTGGGAAAGAGGAGCCTATCTCGTTTCCTCCGCCCACGCCTGGTGTCCATTTCAGGCCTGGGCTGTGATGTGGATAATGCCTTTAATCACTGTGTGCATATCCCATCGCCTCTGGCAGATGAATGTGCATTAGCATTCACAGTAATCAGCCTTTTTGTCATCGGCTTCCCCACGTGACAGCCCTGGTAGCTGAGAGTGTTGCCACCAAGCTCAGGCACACACACACACATTCCTTCTCTCTTAGAGCTGAGAAGAGTGTGATATGCTACCATGTAAATGTTCAGTTTTCTAACAAGGAAGTGGAACAGTCAGTGAGCACTGGGGTGGCCACTGTGGTTGAGGCCTGACCCTCTTGCCAGCTAACCATAGGCAGAGCAATAGCACAGCTTATGTGCAGCCTGGCGTTCCTGCCTAGTACTCAGTAACTAGCTTGTAAGATGCTGAATTGCCCCCTCTCCTGCAAGAAGCGTTTTGGTTTTCACTGGGTCAGTGTGACATGCTGGAAGGAGCTGCTGGCAGAGGCAAGAAGACCTGGGTTCTGGTCCTGGCACCACCCTTCCTGGCGTATGTTCTAAGAAACTCATTTTGAGCCTTTAACTGTGATGTAAAGAGCTAGCCTAGGGGGTATTATTGTAAATTTTTCAGTTCAGATCTCAGTACAAGCCATGGAGCCATGCTTTTTAAAGCCTGTGTGTGTGTGTGTGTGTGTGTGTGTGTGTGTGTGTGTGTGTGTATCCAGGTCATCTGAATGTACTCAAGCCTTTAACAACAGAATGAGCTACAGAGAAAGCAGATGGACCCTAGAGGCTAATGGGTGGCCGCACTGTTTCAGTCTTTTGGGGACACTTGGAGGTTACACAATTCCCAGAACAGCCATCCAGCCTCCTCTTTGTCTTGAAACTATCTATAACTGATCAATGGCGAAGTTCTTCCCACCAGAGGAGACATCTTTTAAAGGGGCCTCTGCCTGCTAGTGAGTTTTGTAAGGGCAGGGCTGTCTTTGTGAGCTCAGCATTTTCCTGAATAGCCAGACATTTCTAGAATGTTTTCATTACCCGCAGCAATTGGCTAGCTGAATGAATGAATGCTATTTATGTGTGGTGGGGTCTTGAAATCCAGAAGAAATTAGCAGTTGGATATCTTAAGGTGTTAGGTCATCACGCCATTCTCCTTTTCTGTCACTATGTCAGTGTAAGGCTCAGCAGGGACTGGAGAGATTACTGGGTTCGGTCCCCAGAATCAGTGTAAAGAAGCTGAGCATGGGGGCTTCAGAGGGCTCAGTGGACAAAGAGCCTGCTGTCTAAGTGTAAAAACTGGAGTTCAAGATCCCCAGCACCTGGGTAAAATCCAGACAGGCATGTTGGCTGTCTGTAACCCCAACACTGGGGAAATGGAGGCAGGGGTCCTAGACAAGCTGGAGTCAGTGATCTCTAGCTTCAATGAAAGGCTGCCTCAATAAATAGAGTACATCAGCACACTTCAGTCTTGGACTTTTACATGTACACACACACAAAAGGACACACACTCACCCAGACACATGCAAAATACATGTATACATGCCACATAGACACACCCCGCTATGAGTAAAACTGAACATGGTACAATCCCAACAATTGATACAGGTGCGTTCCTGGGACTTGCCAACAGGCAGCTTAGCCTCCTTGTAGAGCTCCAGCCCCAATCCCCCTTCCCCCTCCACACACACAAAGCAATCAGAGAAGGATCACTTTTTAGTTGGATTTGTCTGAGAGACTCAGATCTTCGTATGCATTCCACTAGCTCGGGCAGTAGCTAGACGTGGTGCAGCCACCTCATTGCTGGGTAAGAACCATCTTTTTGGTTTTGCTAACAAGCATCTAACAAGCATGCTCTCTTCCTGAGCCGATGCCAGCAGATAATGAATCTTAAGTTGAATTAGTATCATAAGCTCAGTTGCTAAGATAATTGGCTTTGCTTTGATGTCTTCCAATCAGAACATCATTTTCAATGTTCAAGGAGGCCCAAGTAGTTATCTTTTCTGTGTATCTAATCATAGTTATTTGTTATAATCCCAGAATCACACTATAGTACCATTTGCTGGAGAGTAGACTCCCAAGATTAACCTTGATCTTCAGCCAAGGAATTTCTCTGTTCAACAGCTCGGTTCCATGTGATTTCTTCGGTAAACCACTAACTTTGCAGGGATCCTCTAAGGTGACAGATTAGAGTGGTTTCAACATTCTGATGAATAAATACTTACCATGAAACCACCAT